CGCGATACCTCCGTCGAGCATGCGTTGGAACCGAGACATGGCCGCGTCGCTGAGCTCCACGGAAGCCAAGGTGTCGGCAGCTTCTGCCGCTTTAGCGGAAGGTGCAGTCTCTCTCGGTGACTTGGACTGTCTGCTTACCGCCGGACGCTTTGACTTCCTACCTTCAGCTCGGGCAACCATCTCCGGCACGGAGAACTGGCGTTTTCTCCGGCCGGCGGTGCCGGCACTCGTCTCAGACTGAGAGGTCGCGTCGGTGAAGACCGCGTCCTCACCGCCACTTTCAGTGTCTGTTATCACCATAATTCACTCGCTCGTCTGTTTCGCGCTTTTACGCACTCGGCGTAATAACTTTTAGCGTCACTCGCTCGCACTGCACTGTTCTGAGCGCGTTCACGCCGCCCGGGCGCTCACTGCAGTTGGTGACATACCAGGGAAATAAGCTAAAATTAGAGCGCTCTATTTATTGCTCCTGCCCCATGTTGAAGAGATACCCCTAAAAGCGTGATCTTTTATCGGCCCTTACGCAGCAAGGCAGTAATTCTCAGACCGGTGGATGGTATCAATAGAAAGAGAATGCGTCAAAGATTAACATGAATTAATTAAAATAACATTGAAATGTTAATTAAGCGTGGAAATTAGTCCCAAACATAAGCTAATTATTGCTCCTACCTCGGCGACGGCGCTCCCCGCAGTCGGCGGAGAAGCTAAAATAAAAGCCACCATCCCCCTCCGTAAGTCAATTTTAGAGCGGCCGAGTGGGCCGATGCGGGGCCACCAAACTGAGGTGAGACGTGGCTAGTAATTGCAAACCGCCATAGAAATCAATATCTTAAGACGTACAATATGGGATGATTACTCTGAAGCTGGAGTGAAAGCATGAGTAGATTGCAAGAAACGAAATGCATAGATGGGTTGAATTAGGTATGTACAATAGGCACAGCTCAGATGAAGCCATTTCTATGATGTTGACATATGACCATGACATAACCCTTCCTCTCCTCACCTATGACCTAAGTGCATTGGCAGTTACCGGCATAGTTTTTTAGCACGAGTGTAATTCGCCATCGGACCGCAATACATGTTGCTAGGCTGCTGCAATTACAACGAACATACGAATACAGCCTTCATTTGTAGACGTTTGTTTTTTAGGCGGTCTTTGACGTGCAAGGGGGCATACCTGTCGACAACTTGAGTTTCTCCGAATTTCAAAAACTCCCAGAATTTCAATTCCTTATGCACTGTTGTAGGTACAGCTATGTTCACAAGTTTTCGTTTCCTCCTGTTCTAAAAAGGATGATATTTGTCGATTTCGTGCGTCGCTGATAGGAGGGTGCGTTTAATAATTAGGCCCAACGCTTTCTGCATCCGCGAGTACCTTCAAAAGGGAACAACAGTTTCCATTTATTACACTATGGGACATGTGACAAAATGACCACTGGAACACGCATGAAACGGAGCTCATATTCCTAAAAATGTCTACAATCACTTCTTTTCTGACACTATTAGCAAATACCATCTCAAGTTAGGTGGTTGACAGACAGTCAATGGAGATCTGGGGAGACTGAGTGATGCCAATTCACCACTTAACTGATAATGAGGGCCGAGGGAAGAGAAACATGCAACATGCACAACTGACAACTTGACAAGTGACAAAACACTACCACTATTGCGCAGTGCACAACAAATTACAGCAGCCAGCCCAAAAATGCTTTTGGTGGCTAATTGCAAAACAAGTCACTAATAAATGTCTTAGTTGCAGCTGAACACTGCACAATAATCACACTGTTCACACATTGAGTGAGATGCCACAGGTGGTTTGAATCACACTTTGGTTCAACTGCAAATCTGAAGTGTTGTCATGAGGTTCATTCATGCCTCCATGATCACAGCACTTTGGTTGTGGTTGGCATAACACTTGTAGTCTGCAGAGTTCCACATGAACTGCAGACACCTCATCTGGTGGTCTTCATGTTGCTCAACTTCTTCAGGAGGCAAATGTCGACCACCCAGCGGAAGCATGGTCCTGCAGAAAAGAAAGGTAATGCATAAGGTACAAACATTATCTGCTGAAACAGCTCCTTCTGTTGGCTGTTATTAAACTTTTAACATAGGTAACATAACAACATGTATTCCATGTATATTACATTTGTTGAAGTAAAATACTGCCGGCTATTTCAAAACCAGAAAATGAAATTATATTGTGGCATAATTCACCTGCTCAGCTATCAGTATCAAATAGTAATTAAGTTAATATTTGGCATATTCTATATAACACATTCATAGAATATTCTACTTCACGTCACAAGGACTCACAATCTTTCTGTTGGGTGTTTGATTGACGCATTAACTAAGTTTGTCTTAGGTTTTATTATTGCAAAAAATTCATATTGCATTATTGTATCAAAATACTGCCAGCAATAACAAAACAAGAACATGAAATGCCAATGAGCAAGCCGCCTTTCCTTAAAATTGATTACTTTGAAAGGAATTTTAGTTTCTTTTAAGGAAAAGGAGAAATGAGTATCAGGTAATTATCAGAAAACCACTCAACCAACAAGTGGCTGGGTGGTTTCACAGCAAACATCAAGCCAAAACATATACTTACATCTATCTAACAACTGAGCCATTTGACTACTACAAGGATATGTGAGCAAAATAAGAATCCAATTATCCAATGTTGACTTCCTTGCAAAGTTTATGCCTCATTTTATGAAAATGTGTCACTAGAATATGATACTTATCATCGAATATTATTTAATTTACGATTTATTTCGATCGGAATGCACGTTGAGTCCCGCGCCATTTTCGTCGACGATGAATATGATCGTGTTTCATGAAGAGATAAGGGGTTTCAATGGTCTTTCAAAGCAATAATTTGATGCAAAAATTTGTGGGAAATAATATGAAGCTGGTTCAAATGGCCATCAACCATTTAAAACACCGAAAATACTCACAACTCCGTCCCGACGACCACGCAGCACCGCGCACGCCACACTACTGGCACAATGCCAAAACTGCTGTCACAGCGGAAATGTTTTTTTTTCTCGATTGCAATTGTGGAATTATTTATTAAACAGAAGATGATCTTTCCGAAAAACCGACTGATTTCATACACAGATGCATGGAAAATAAAAAAATCCCGGTAAGTTTATTTGTATTGTTTTGTCGATTTTGACATGCTCCTAGTTTGCAGCCATATTTCGATATGTTCTACAGGGAGTTCAGAATTATTTCAGGACCAATCTTTTCCTCATTCATTTTCCCGTCGATTATGAAATTTTTAGAGCGGAACAATTGGTTTCCAGGCGGTCCGAGCGGTTTCCGTGAGAAGGGTGCAAAAATCGGCGTCATTTTTAGAGCCTCGACACCAGCTCAACACAGGACCCTATGGGAGACGGTGAAGTAGCGGGAGCAATAAATAGAGCGCTCTAATTTTAGCTTATTTCCCTGGTGTGTCACCGACTGACTGGGCCGCACTCACTGAGCCATCCGAGCGCTGCCCGGCCGCCAACCGCTGACCTCGCCCGGGGCGCGGCGACCCGACCGACCGGCTCGGAGGCCAGAGCCCGACTGTCAATGGGCTACTGGAAATGAGAGATATGAATTATGGACTTTAATGCTTTTCAAGGGGCGCTCGGACGTGTTGTCACGTGGTAAAATGTCACACTTCTGAGGCGCTACTGTGTCTGAAATAGGAGGCATATTTTGTGATAGGTCGTGTTTGAAATAATTATTGCGCTGTTATTACCTTATATACTATATTTTTTGACACTGCGATTTGGTTATACATATGCCGTAAGTTCTCCTTCCTGACACTACGTGGCGCTGGCATGTCATTAGTTCCCGTCGCGGACGCTGGGCGGCGCTGCTGTGTCGTTACCCCACCCTCACTTACCTACACGTCACCACTAACCGTAAGCTATCCACCATGAAAACGGTCGGCGATGCTTCCCCTGACTATTTGGAACCTGGGCTCAGTGACCGCCAGCTGACTCATTCACTACGTTTTTTACACGTCTAAATCGATTTAGCCAAATTACACGTGCGTTTTTCTCAAATACTATTCACCCGATGCAAAAAATAAGCGTACATAATATGGTTTTAACTGGCACCTAATCCTACATGTACGTTCTTAAATTATGCCTTAATGCTATGATGGAGCAAATCCATTTTTCAAAATCGGCTTAGCTTGTGCCATGGAAACGTAGCCAGTGCATTGTGTGTCGTTGGTGCCGGACCCCCCCCCCCCTCCCAACTGTGTGTCTGTGTGTTGTTGGTCTCCCCCCAGACCGTATCTGGTGTGTGTCACTGTTCCCTGGACTGTTTGCTGTATGTTGTTTTGTTTGTACCCCCTCAATCTGTGTTTGTTGTGTGCCACAAGTGCCTCACTGACTGATTGTTGTGTGTCGCTGGTTCCTCCAGATATGTGTCTGATGTGTGTCGCTGGTTAATGGTTTCTCCCAGACTGTGGGTCTGGCGTGTGTCGTTGGTCCCCCTCTGACTGTGTTTATTGTGTGTCGTTGGTCCCCCTCTGACTGTGTTTATTGTGTGTCGTTGGTCCCCCTCTGACTGTGTTTATTGTGTGTCGTTGGTCCCCCTCTGACTGTGTTTATTGTGTGTCGTTGGTCCCCCTCTGACTGTGTTTATTGTGTGTCGTTGGTCCCCCTCTGACTGTGTTTATTGTGTGTCGTTGGTCCCCCTCTGACTGTGTTTATTGTGTGTCGTTGGTCCCCCTCTGACTGTGTTTATTGTGTGTCGTTGGTCCCCCTCTGACTGTGTTTATTGTGTGTCGTTGGTCCCCCTCTGACTGTGTTTATTGTGTGTCGTTGGTCCCCCTCTGACTGTGTTTATTGTGTGTCGTTGGTCCCCCTCTGACTGTGTTTATTGTGTGTCGTTGGTCCCCCTCTGACTGTGTTTATTGTGTGTCGTTGGTCCCCGTCTGACTATGTTTATTGTGTGTCGTTGGTGCCCCCTCTGACTGTGTTTATCGTCTGTCTCAGGTGCCAGACGACCTGGAACCGGGTCTCAGTGACCGCCAGCTCACCCAGGTGCTCCTGAACAGCATGTCGCTGGACGACTGGCAGCAGGACTCGGCCTCTCCGCCTGCCAGCTCTCCGGACGAGCCGCCGCCGGCGCCGTCCGACCCCAACCAGAGACTGCAGGCGCGCGCAGCCAGAAACAAACGCAACATCGCGGATGTGAGTGGGACAGGTTATACAGGGGTAGGGTTTGAAATAGTGGGAAGTTATACAGGGTAGGGTTGGAAATAGTGGGAAGTTATACAGTGGTGGCTATGGAAATAGTGGGAAGTTATACAGTGGTGGCTATGGAAATAGTGGGAAGTTATACAGTGGTGGCTATGGAAATAGTGGGAAGTTATACAGTGGTGGCTATGGAAACAGTGGGAGGTTTTACAGTGGTGGCTATGGAAATAGTGGGAAGTTATACAGTGGTAGGGTTGGAAATAGTGGAAAGTTATACAGGGGTAGGGCTGGAAATGGTGGGAAGTTATACAGTGGTGGGTATGGAAAAAATGGGAAGTTATATAGTGGTAGGGTTGGAAATAGTGGAAAGTTATACAGGGGTAGGGCTGGAAATGGTGGGAAGTTATACAGTGGTGGCTATGGAAATAGTGGGAAGTTATACAGTGGTGGCTATGGAAATAGTGGGAAGTTATACGCTACAGGGGTGGGATTTGGGGAGTGGAAAAGGTATACGGGGTGGGTTTGGTTAGGTATAATAGTCTCTATGGCCAGAATGCCCTAAAACATAAATAGCTATTCATGAGGAGAGTGGAAGGCTGGGAATGAGAGGTGTGGGCTGCTGGAAATGAGTGATTAAATTTTGTCCCGTTTTGCTCCCGTTTGAACGTATATATCGTGTCTTGTCCTGACCTTTGCCTCCTACCGTGTACCTTGCGGCTGGGCAGGACATTTCGCTGCATTACTTCTGCCCTTACCCCGCTAACAGATCACTCTTGACCCTAGGTGTCGAAGGGCGGTGTATCTGTAGCCCGTAGGTGGCGCTCTGGCTGATGTTCTGTTCCTTGTCGTTCGCTCTTCGCTCCCTATCCGTTCTTAAAATCGCCCCTTACCGTTCCCGTGACCGTTTCCACTGCCGTGCACCAGGTCCCCGAAGACGAGGCGGCCCGCCGATTGGCCGTCCAGGAGCGCGACAACAAGTGGCACCGGTTCGTCGAGGGCCACCTCATCCTCAAACAGGGTCTCATCGACAAGCGCAAGGGTCTGTTCGCGCGCCGGCGGATGTTCCTGCTGACGCTGGGGCCTCATCTGTACTACGTGGACCCCGTAAACATGGTGCTCAAGGGAGAAATTCCATGGTCGCGCGAACTGCGACCAGAGGTGAAGAACTTCAAACACTTCTTCGTACACACGGTAGGTGGGTGGGGTCGGGAGGGTTTGTGGGTTGGTTCTGATCCTGGGGAAAGGGAAAGGGGGTTCTGGGATAGGACGTCCAAGAACGATGAAGAGTGTCTGTCTCTGTGGTTTGCCGTTACGTGAAGACTTACATTTACATTTGAAGAGTTGCAATGTATCCGTCTGCTCAACTGCTTGTTATCGTGGGCTTCCTCTTAATTTATATGTATATCATGCTCGCCTCTATATTTAATCTTTTTCTTTGCTTTTCATTTTAAATGTTTTATCGTATGTTCTTGTATGTGGCACATTCAGTCCTGTCAAGTGGACGTGTGTTCGACCATCCCATTCTCCCAATCGGCACATCAGTCGTACATCCACACATCTCGTCCCCGGCTCTCTCTTACCTTCCCCTCCCCTGCGTTTACAGCCGGGCCGTACCTACTACCTCGAGGACACCCAAGGCTACGCGCTCGAGTGGGTCAAAGCCATCGAGGAAGTTCGGGTCCATACTTACGGCAGCGATTGACGACCGGCGCGTGCTAGGTCAGCTAGCACCTCCGCAAGATAAACTAGCACCTCCGCGAGATAAACTAGCACCTCCGCAAGGCGAACTAGCACCTCCGCAAGGCGAACTCGCACCTCCGCAAGATAAACTAGCACCCGAGTTCGAAGAGGCTAGCGCCTGCGGCTGATGGCCTAACGCCTCCGTAAGATGAACTAGCACCTCTGTCTGATGGACTAGCACGCCCTGTGTCAGCTCCGCGACTGTCGTGGACGGCCGGCCGCCGCTGTGAGGTTTGCACTCGGGCGAAATGTCCTGTGGCGGCCTCTGAGGATCGTCCAGACCAGCTCGTGGGTAGCAGAACGAACCAGGCGGGTCCTGAGGCACACAGAGACCAGACCATACCGTGCCGGAACCGTGAGGGTGCACCGTGACAGCACGTGACGTTCCTTGTCGATGGCTTCGGTCGTTCGGTAGCAGCGGGGGAAGTCTACTGACGCGTTATGGTCGAACTCCAGTGGTGGCGTATAGTGTGACTGGGTGGTTCTCTGAAACTGATGCCGTACAGCGGGGTGCCGTACACCGGTTAACAGGCGGAGGACGGATAGACGGTCAGACCTCGGAGTCACTGCTCGCTGCGGACGAAGCCCATCCGGCTGACTGGCCGTATTGTGGAAGAGGTACCTGTGCTAGTGACTAGTGAGTGACGAGAAGAGAGAGTGGGATGGAGCTAGGGAGGAGTAGTGAATCGTGATAAGTTAGGTGTGGATCCAGACGGCATCGCCGCCGCCGCTGGGGCAGTGGGGGCGCCGCCGGCACCACAGCGCTTATGGTGACATCTGTCGGCGGCGGCGCGAAACTGAAGTTGTCGACGTGGCCGCACTGGCGCTAATTGTACATAGCTGTGAGCTGACGAAGCGGAGTATCCCTGTTTTGCGCTGGGTCCATCCATGACCCGTCTTTCTAGCAGGCCGCTGGTCGGCCGGACGATGCAGAGTGTGCGGATTCGGCACTGACTTTTGGGAGATGAGCGGGAGACGGGTCTGTCCACGGGGTGACCCTACCTCGCAAAGGCGCCATATTTGAATGGGACGACTGTGCTGCTTCGGCGCGGCAGTGGGGATGCTGGGCTCACTGGATGTTTCTGGGTACCGTCTCTGAGGGGGTCAGCCGAGTGGTTTCCATGGTAACGAACCGCCGCTGACTGTGGATGTGTGTTGGTGCCGTAACCCGGATTCTGGTCGCAGTTTCTTGAGGTTCTCCCGCACGAATCGACGCTAACGGTGATCGTCCGTGCCGGAGACCATTGTTTCGGGCCGAGACCGGTGGTCCTTTGTGGTCCCGCGCCGGTCCGCTCTTCATTTCCCGCCCTCAAAGCGGTCTCCCAACCGCGACACCGTAGCCTCTATCGAGGCATGTGCAATAGCGCGGTTGGGCGTGTGCGAGAGGCTACTGAGTGTTCTTCCGATTTCTTCCAGTCAGCACGTGCTAGAATGGGCGGGCTTTGCAGTGCGAGACCACAAAGATGCCGCGGTCGATGGGGTTTGAACCAACGCACTCCCGATGAATACCTTTGCGATGCAAATACGAGTTGTTGGGTGGTGTGCATTGAGCAATTGTAAATTGTATTGTTGTTGGGTTTGTAAATAAGAAGTATATAAGTCCCCATGAGATGTGAGAATGTTTGAATGGCCAATGATGCACTGAGGTATTTATTTAACCTGCTGGAAATACATGAGGGGTATTTGTTACCTTGCCTTTGTGAAGTTTATCGATATTCGGAATCGGTAACATAATTAGTGAGAACACGTTACTTCTGTTTTTGATGTTAGAACAGAGCTCTCTTGAATCATGAGATTTTGGCGGAAAACGTTTCACTATTTTGCCGAAAGGAAGTAGAATGTCCGCAATGCGCTACCCAACCTCTTCCCGTCTTAGCATTTTAAATAATTGCTCAACGATATTCGTTTGTGTCACCATGTTCACCAGGGCCTTTCGCGCGGTAACCAGTAGCCGATTCACTTGCACAATTACAATTCACCGAGCTAATTCATATTGAACCCAGGAAGCCACAACCCCGCCCCGCGACCAATCCCAACGCTGGGCTTGTGGCGGGCCATGCCGACCTGTGGCATATGACGTCACGTGTGTGTGTGTGTGTCCTTGTGTCCTTAGCCCCAATCCCGACCAATGTTTGTCCTGTGTAAACTGTGCCTTACATCAACACGTCCCGCGCCTGGGGCCAGTTATAGGCTGATCGAGCCGGTAATGGAAAATTTACACCGTTCGTGCTGGCTCGGGGCAATCACGCGCCATCATTGTTGGAGTCTAATTTATTGCAAATGACAATCGCTTGTAAAAGTGGCGTGCAAATGTCCATGTCGTTAGGGGTATGGGATCCTTGCATTCATTAAGGGATTAACCAACAATTACCGGTAGTTTACTCGGAAATAATTAGAGAATACGACCATTGACGGCCATAGATTTGACGGTAGATTCATTTCAGGTTCATTATCGATTGATGTCTTCTGAACAGTGAACGTTTACCTTGGCAATGCAAACATCGGGAATAGGGAAAATATAGGTACTTAACATACGGCATTTCGAACTAAATTAGGTATAATTCTTTTTACATACAATTATAATCAACATTCGGAGCTATTGACAAAATATCAACCAATTACCATTATCATTTTGACGTCCCAACCTCCCCCCCCCCACACACACACACAGACACAGACACCGCGGTACGCCCCCCCCCCCCATAGGCAATAGGTAACCCCTTACACCGTACCAGTGGACGGTCGCTGCTCGTACCTCGGGGCTCGGTCGATGTTGACAAATTGCCCGCGGCGGTGCACCGGGTCGCGTTGCTAGGGATGGCCATCAAAACAGAGGTGGGCGAGGGCCCGAGGCGGCGGTGGAGGCGTCCAAGGCAGCACGGCTTGTCAGCTGAGGTTGCAACGCCCGAGGGACGGTGGACAACAGGCGGGGACAGTTGAATGGTGAACTCAAAGGTGAATTTAGTGCGTCGGCCCGTCTGTCTGCTGGGTGAAGTGAAACGACTACTCTTGTGAAGACGATTGATTGAACGGTTTTCCGAACAGTGGAATAGCCTTCCGACCACGTAAGTAATTAACGAGCTATGGGATCGTGGGCAGCGTTATGCGTCATTAAAGGCTAAATTAAATAATCAATACGGTTCATTTAGCCCGTAAAATTAATATCATGCCTACCTCGTTTAAAATTTATGATGCATTCGGCAACTATCTTGATGGTGGTTTCAAGCAACATTACGGTCTCACACAGGTAGGTACTGACGTTAACTTTATAGTTTTGCTCCGCAATTAAATCATCACCGCCTTTGATACGACGGTAGCAAATATTGGATAATTACCTACTGAGAGGGAAGATAATAGCCGTTTTCACGACGGGCTATCCGGCGAATGCACCTGATTTGACCAAATCTGTACCAAATTTCTTGTACAGCAAATATCTTCGAATGAAATCGGACTTACTCCACAAGAGTTCGTTGGGTCGGAGCTTTCGAATTGTATTACAATTCTTCGTCAGCGAGAGTCGTATCGGATGTTAAGATCGAATCGAAGGTACAGTGCGGATCGAACAAAATATCGAAAATGAGTCATATTTTGTTCGATCCGCACTGTACCTTCGATTCGATCTTAACATCCGATACGACTCTCGCTGACGAAGAATTGTAATACAATTCGAAAGCTCCGACCCAACGAACTCTTGTGGAGTAAGTCCGATTTCATTTTAATTCACAATTCATCTCCACATCATGTCTTTAAATGCAAATATCTTCATTGTATGAATTTATTTCAGTGTTTTATTCGATGATGCTCTCTGATAATATGACAAAGCACGCATATAAGCAATTAGTGCAACCCTAGCTGATAGCTGCTAAGAGACACACTGAACCTGATTTGACCAAATCTGCACCTAATCTGTACCAGATGTGCACCAAATGTGTACCAGATGGCCGTCGTGAAAACGGCTAATGTTTAGTTACCTTGGAAGCTGACCGGCGTCAAGCATTCAACTCTTGGTATAGCATGACACTTGCTGAGGATTGTACACCTTTCGTGTACTAGATGGAGAAGTAGGTACCGATTAGCACTTGTTCTGGAAACACAATTTGATGCATTCCTATGATTTATTCGATCGGGAGTGCGACGGGAAGCAAAATGAAAATATCGCTTGGGATTGCCGATGAGGCATTATTCGGCTTTTTTGGAACTTAGGTACATTGACAATTTGAACGAGCATTATTGGGCTTTACACTGCGCCCTGCTTTGGGAAGTGGGAGACTTCATTATAGGTATAACGCAACCTCAAGTTTTTTTTTAACCGGAAAACGAAACGTATAAGGCACAAACGGCCACCTATTCCTATTTGTACAAGAGTTATTACGTTCCTATTACACGAGGGTCGTTCCAAAAGTAATGCCTCCTATTTTTTAACTCCGCCCCAAATGATCGGAGGGCGTTGAAATTTGCACCGTATCATGACTTAACCTTAACTCGCATGTCTTTAAATGTTCATTTCTCTATCACAGCTATTTACCGTGTGATGTCTTGGTAAACGAAGTTCGTCACGGAAACTCGTCAGAAGCAGAGATGCGTCATTGAATTCCTTCACAGGGAAGGGAATGCACCCATCAACATTCACCGACGCCTGCAGAATGTCTATAGAGCAGACGCGGTGGATGCGAGCACAGTTAGCAGATGGGTCCGTCGCTTTGAGAGCGGTGAAAGTGATGTCAAAGGCAAAGCACGCTCCGGACGTCCGCGCACCGGGCGCCAGCAGGCAAAGTGATGTGCACCGTCTTCTGGGACAGGCAATGTGTCATCCTCTTGGATTTCCTGGAACCAGGAGCGACTGTAAACTCTGACCGTTACGTTGAAACGTTGACAAAACTGAAGGCCCGGATAGCCCGCGTAAGTCCAGAAAAGAAGAGAAACATTCTGTCTGCAACATGACAACGCTAGGCCACACACGAGTCTGAAGACCACAGAATGTGTGGCAAAGTTCGGCTGGACATGCTGCCACACCCTCCTTATAGTCCTGACCTGGCACCGTCCGACTTCCACTTGTTCGCGCCTCTGAAGGACGGCTTACGTGGGCAGCGCTTCCCAGACAACGACGCCGTCATTGCCGCCGTGAAGAAATGGACCACCTCGGCGGGCGCTGACTTTTACGAGCCAGCCATCAAGGCGCTCGTTCATTGCTGGCAAAAGTGCATTGAGAGTAGTGTGACTACGTAGAAAAATAAACGTAGAACAAAAAAAGTATGTTCGTTTTAATGACGCCACCCCCATCTTCCAATCTCATCAACTTTTCGAGTTAAAAAATAGGAGGCATTACTTTTGGAACGTCCCTAGTACATATATTTATCTTATGTTTCTACTAGCCCACCTGGCCGAAGGGAGGAGGCGGGGGTGGGTGTCACCACCCTGGCGTTTTTTTCGCAATCGCCCGGAACGCGCTGGGCACAGAAAGTTTCATTCTATACTTTCTTTCTTTTCCATAACACCTGACCTTTAATTGTATTCGGATCTTGAAAAACTGACCTGACCGTATTTTCAGGTCAGAACACCTCTGCGTGGTCTTTCTTAACCCTAGAACGCCTAGGGGGGGGGGGGTGTATCAACCCCCCCCCCTGAGGTTTTTTCGAAGTGCACGCTAAACGGCTTGTCGTAGCGGGCTGAAATTTTCAATACCCTCTGGGGCAACCTTTGCGCATCTTTTGCCGAAAAAAAAATTGATCGGGTCATGTCAGGTCACGGAGTTATGACGTCATAAGAGGTACAGCCTCCGGCCGGATTTTCACAAACTGAGTGCCAACGCCCGAGGTTTCCTGCCGGTGGTACGAACATCGGTTGATGGATCGTGATGAAACTTCCCATGCATGTTGGGGCAAGCATTGGCTATCATATGGTATAAGAAATTTGACCGGGTCAGGTCAGGTCACGGAGCTATGACGTCACAAGAGGAACAGCGTCCGGTACTATTTTTGAAAAGCGCCCGAACCACTATTTTGCTAATTCTTGTCACCTCAATGGGAATATGCAGCAATATTAGCCTCTATAGGAAGCAAATGGACCTCCCAAATCCAAAAATACAATCAGATTTCAAAAATTTAAATTTTGATTTTTCGAATTTCTGCCGCCGACTGTGACCTTGCCGACTTCCGGCGCTCCCAACGCGCCATTTTTAGAGCTAGGGAAACGAAATACATACCAAACGATAGAGAATTGATCAAGGAACACGATAGTGAAGGTTTCAAGTCGATATCTCCCACCGTTTTGCCGCAATCGCCGCCGAAAGTTGACAAAAAGTCTATTTTTCCGAAAATTTGACCTTTGACCGGTCAAAAGTAGGTCAAATGTTGACCTAGGACCAAAAAATATACCACCAATCGCGAGATCTCGTTGAGAGCAATCCGTTGGTTTTTTGCGCTAAGCTCTACGACCTTCCGTTTCGAAACGCCAGGGGGGGGGGGGTCGTAACAACCCCCCCCCCCCCTGGTCGTTCGTGTTATGAGAAATGGCCTGGTCGTGCGAGGGTTAAACAAAACGTGTGCCTGCATTCGATGCGCCTGATTATGAAAAATGTGACTGTGCCAAATGAAATGAACCTCTGCGTGGTCTTCCTTAAACAAAAAGTGTGCCTGCATTCGATGCGCCTGATTATGAAAAATGTGACTGTGCCAAATTCCCCGAGGCCC